AATCAACACGGGAGCTGGAACTTTTTGCTCATATTTCTGTGATCAAATCTTGTTTTTTCTCACACCAAATTATAATATCTAATGCTGTTATTGCAAATGGGTTTCAGTCATGCTGTTCCTACTGACAATATTAAAAGCTGTACAGCTAAAATCTCAGTGTTTAAAAAAAGATGATGATTTGTCCAGCACTTTGGGGTTCCTTGAATATGAAGGGGCAGAACTTCAGCTGGTGAAAACTGTCATAACAACATTGACTTCAATGGGACTATGCTAGATTTCACCACTTGAGGATCTGCACTGAAATGTTGACATTTTATTTTATTCTTTCCACCAATCTTCATCTGCTTTAGTTCTGATTAAAATGTTTACAACTATGAAAAATAATATGAAATATAAAAACACGTTAAACAGAAAGCAAGAATAAAAACATATCCAAATATTATATAATAGCTGCATATGTAAGTACATATAAATGTCTCACCTATGTGCACCATGAACCAAATTCAACTGACAGCAAAGTCAGTGGCCCTGTTAGTGTTACCATTCATTCTACTGCAGTTAACAGTCAAATTCACTGTTGTTTATAACATGATGTATAAATCTCAACTTGGGAGAGAATTTCTTATACCAAATCTGACTTAAATCAGTTTGATTAAGTTATAAGATAAAGTATAATAACAAAGGTATAATTGTAGTAGTTTAGCAAGATGAGAGCCTGAACCTGTTGTCCTCAATGAGGAAAATATCATTGGCAGTTTTCCCTGTGTGAGGACTGTGGCCGTGATTATGTAGATTAGCGCCTTTCTAAAGTAGAACCTGTAGAAACATTGATATTTTATAAATTGACTCTGTACAAGCACAATATGTACTTTTACAATAAGAACTTTTTACATTCATATAAATGAACAGTTCAGAGTGATTTAGCACTTACACAACTTTATTCACCTTCAAAGCACTCTACAAACATTAACTAATTGCAGAATATAGAGCATATTATCACACAAACTTCCATTAAAAACTCTGAAGAAACCATATTATGAATGATCTGTAATTATGGGCCATATCCAGCCACTTGGACAGATCTAGACTGTTGCTACTAAGATAATAAAATATTAGCACAGAACACCCCCCAACAATGTAGCTCTTTCCCCAGCATTCCAATTTTGTAAAGCTGAAATCTTCATTAGGAGATACAAATCATTCTTTTGGGAAGGGCCATGGCCCTGTTCAGAACTGAAGGCCTGTAGCTGCTACGGCAGAGTCTTGCATTGGCTCTGTAGAGTGAAGGATGGCAGTGGGGACAGCCCTCAGGAGGAATCATGAGATCCATATTTAAGCACATCTAGCAATTCCTACACAGTACAAGGAGCATCTAGGACTATTGCGCAAGCTCACAGGATGGTGTAGCAGCCACTGGGGAGCTACACTGTATTCCTGCACACTGGCTGTTTTCCTAGCCCTCCTGCACTTCATCCAATTACTTGGGGTTTCATAAATTCATAGCATTTGTCTGGCTTCAGCTTCCTGCCATTGGCTCTTATTATGCCTTTCTCTAATGGGTTAAAGATCCCTGGAGTATTTTTTCCCCATGAAGGTTCTTAGACACCATAATCGAGTAATCTCTCAATCTTCTTTCTGATATGCTCAACAGATTGAGCTCCTTAAGTCTCTCCCTAAAAGGCATTTTCACCAGCCCCACATCCTTTTTTCTACCCCTTTCTCATTTTTTCAACATCCTTTAAAATGTGGACACCGGAACAGGATGCAGTATTCCTGTATCAGTCTCATCAATCACATATACAGAGCTAATACCTTCCTGCTCCACCTCACTACTCCCATTTATACATTCAACTCTTGCATGAGCCATTTTTGCCACATCGCACTAGGCACTTATGTTCAGTTGCTTGTCCAGTATGACCCCTAAATCCTTTTCAGAGTCACTGTTTTGCAGAGTACAGTCTCCATGTGTTCTGTAGGTATGGATTGCATTTCTTGTTCCTAGATGTATAACTTTGCATTTGGCTGGCTGCAAGAAGCTGTTAGCTGTCTAGTTAAATTTGTAGTTCCCTTGCCCGTGGTCTAGGGTCCACTACTCACAGGTTCTAGATATGTGACAGAAGTGGGGTTTTTAACTTAAAAATATCTAATATTGTAAGTTTAATATATAATATGGTAAAATATATTTAAAATCAATTGCTACATCATTCAATATTTTATCAAATTCAATATGTATTTTTAAATTAGTCACTGACTCTCTAAAAAGTAAAACTGGTTTGAAAAAGAAAATTAGATTAGTATTCTGATCTGGAAAATATTGATGCTATTCATTTAAAAATGTAAAAATTCCAATGTGAGGTCTTGATCCTGGAAACATTTACACATATGCTTAACTTTAATCACCTAAGTATTTGCAGGATCAGGGTCTAAATTACATGCAACTAAATGCTGCTTTAGAAAAAAAAATATCTAGGGCGTGCTTTTCCAAACACTTATTCAGGTGAGTAACTATACCCAACTGTGTAATCCCATTGAGTTATAATATACAACCTCAGAATTTTACACTTAGTTAATATGCAACCCTGTAACATGCTTGGGGTCTTAATGTGCCTTTTTTCCTGTCATATCTTGGCTCTGTGTAGACACTAATCTTGCAGTGGTGTACCACAGGGCAGCAGAAGTCCATTTGTGAACTCTTTGTAGCAAGAAATGTCATTTATTTTTTGTTCTGTACAGAACTCAACACAATCGGACCCCAAACCTGTAATACAAATAAATAAATAATATTCATATACACAAATATTTGCATGATCAGGCTTCATACTCGCAAATATGGGACCAAAGCCTGTCCACCTTACTCACGTGCGTTGTCCCAATAACTTCAGTGTAGTGCTTACCAGTGTGAGATATTCCACTGACTTAAATTCAACAATTCACAGTGGTAAGCACTAATGTAGTAGCAAGTGTTTATAAGATCAGGATATAGTTGCATGTAAGGTCACCTTAGTATTTGAATATTAACCAAACACACACATAAATATTCAGTTTGAATACACATTCCTAAAGTATATCAAGTATTTGTAAATGAGTCAGGATCTGTTGCAGTTTGTCATCTCATTATATCATAGGTTTATAGAAAAGGAGACTCACATAAGTTCCCCTTTGGAGAAGAATTAAACATCGGCATATTCATCCATTAGCTTCTTTTGTTACCCACAATCAAAGGCAATTAAGCTAGGATGAAAACTGCTGTATTACAGGTAGTTATCATATCTGTGAAGTGGTGCTTATGGCAGGATTTGGCCCCTAAAGATAACTGTTCCAATGAATGACACAGAAAATAATGTGCAAATTCCTTTAAAATATTTCCAGTAGAGTAAGGCATGAGCAAGGGTGGCAGCATCTGACTTTAAGTGCCTGACACAACAACATGAAACCAAGGCCCCGATTCTGCAAATACTGTGAAATCAGTGGGACTCCTCAAGTAAGTGAAATTAAAGACATAAATAAGCATCTGTAGGAGCAGGGCCTAAACTGTGGTTTCCATTTTGTTCCTGTGACATATTAGGGATTTCAGATTCCTTTCTAAAAACATGAATGGAATTGTGGATGGAATATATATTTCTTTGCCTTATGTTAAATACACACACTGACAAACATCTGTGTGTTTTTCTTAAATGTTTTCTAAAATGTTTCTGTGATTAAAATACTTATCCATATACACTGATTATAAACCAACAGGCCACAAGGATTTTTTTTTTTTTTTTTTAAGATTCTCACAGCTGAAACACTCTGGCAGTGTGTCACAAAAGTTTGAGCTGCAGAACATGAGACTAAAAGAGTGACAATAAGCAAAAGATGCAAATGGAGAAAACAACAAAAATGGTCATTAGGGAGATGGACAGATAATACGAGAAAATAACTGTAAGCCTGTCCTTGCAGATATGTAATGTTTCAGACACGTGGGAGAAAAACAAAAGATACTAGTGGTGTCCTGTTATTTATTGTTTGTATTGTGGCAGCAGTTAGAAGCCCCAATCATGGGCCAGGACCTCACTGTGCTAGGAACTGAACAAAGAACAAAAAGTCTCTGCCCCAAACAGCTTTACAAGCTAAGGTTCAAACTTTAAACTGAACCAGTGCAACAAAGGTCTTTCTCATCTAGAGCAAAATAGTGTCTTATTTTCAAAGGCTTTCTACATACACATAACCCAATCCCAAACAATCTTTTAGACCTCAAAAAGGGAGAAAAAACAAAAAACCTCCATAAAATCCACTAGTGACTTCACTATTGCTAATTGATATTACATTGAAGGGGCTCAGATTCTACAGAGATGGGTGATAGTATAAATCCTTAGGGCAGGTCAACATTACACTAGAAAATTATATCAACGTGACTATGTTGGTTGGAGTGTGATTTAAAAAACCACACCTATATATTATACCATTATAAACCCCACTGCGTATGGAGTTATGCCAGTATAAATGTGCTTTATGCTGGGACAGATTATTATGCTTCCTGAACCAAAACAAGTTATACCTGTGCAAAGCATTTTATTGTGATACACAATAGAGGAAGTCTGTGGCTCTGAAGCAGCAAAACTTTGTAATGTAGACAAGCCTTAAGATAGACAGTGTTTATCTTACTGCTAGGCCATGCTGGTCCCACTATCACTGAGGTCACTGACTTTGTCTTCACTACAATAAAGGTGTGGTGGTGTTTTTTAAATCCAGCGATAGCTATCTTGATGTAAAATCCTAGTGGAGACAAGGGGCACGGTATTTTTTACCTCAGTGTAGCTAGTTGAAGTCAACACTACACCCCCCACCTGGGGTCTACCTCCTCTAGCTACATGGAGAACTACCTGTGCATTGTCTCCACTAGCATTTTACATCCAGATTAAAAAGTTTGGTGGTGCAATGAAGACATAGCCATTGACTTCTAGGGGAACAGACTAGACTTCTTACCAGCAGTGGTGCTGGAACTGGGGGCGCAACAAGCTTGAAGTAGTAATAACAAACACCACGTGCATGGTTTCCATCATCAGCACCCCGGCTTGCCAGCGGCTCAGCATCCCCACACAGCGGTCAGAGTGCGGCTGCGAGAGTAAAGCCAGCAGCTGAGACTCCAGCAGCGAACCCTAAAGCTTCTGCGCCTGCCTTGGTGGGACTGGCCCGCGTTTGGTGTGTGTTTGTGTTGGCCGGGGGGCATGCACTTATCCTGCACGCCCCCAGCCTGCAGCGCCCGGCGGCCAGGCACGCCGTGGCTCCTGCGGCTGCCCCACTTCGGCCATAGGTCCCTTTGTACAGCCGAGTAGCGCGGAAAGTTGCACAGAGGGCGGCTGGGCAGCGAGCAGGGGAGGGGAACACACAGCCCCCCGCAGCGGCTCCAGAGCCAGACAAAGTCGCGGGGCCCGGTTCCGAGGGGATCGATGCCCCCCCCCCACGCTCCGGCCTGAGGCAGTGTCCCGGGCTGGATCCTGACCGCCCCGGGTGCGGTGTCCAGCCTGTTGCTCTGAGCGGGCGCCGCCGGGGCTCTGCGGCGGGGCAGGGGGCTCCGGCTCAATGGGGAGCATATCCCCGCCGCTCTCCCGGGGGCAGCGGCCGCCCCCCCTCAGGTGGGAGCCGGTAGCGCGGCCCTGCCCCGGCCGCGGAGCGCAGGGGGAGGCGGCGGAAGATGGCGGCCGGGCGGGCCGCTCCTCCAGCGCTGGCTGCCGGTGTAACGATACAAACTGCTCTCCCTCCCCTTTTGCTACCTTGGGTGTACTGAGCATGCTCACTCGAACTGAGCATGCCCAGTAACCTTCCTTGTAGCCACTGCCCTCTCTCTGCCCTTACTTCTACTTACGTTTTGCTGCCTCCTCTTTGGGGGGGTTAAAAGGATTAAGGGGGGCAAATCGCAGCGGGGGGACTGTCAGGGTCTGAGCAGGGGGCAGAATTTTACTGGCCTGGGGGGTTCGAGTTACTGTAGCTAGCGGCAGAAGAGGGGCTGAAGGGGAAAAATCAGGGGTGGGGGGTGAGAGCCGGGGTTAAGCTGGGGGGGGAGACACTGCCAGACCCCGTGCGGGTACAAAACCCCCGTTTAGGGAGGGGGAGAGGGGGGGGACAGTGACCCCATGGGACAAGCCACCCACTGTGCTCGCTAATCTAGGGGTGTGGGGGGGGCAGAGGCTGTTTTTGTTCTTCTCACAGGGACGCTGCATGTCAGCCTCGGAGCAGGGGGCGGGTTCCTGGGACTGGGGTCTTAAAGGCACAGGCCTCCAATTCCTAGCCTGTCAAAGCTTAATCACCGCAGCTCCTCTCTATCCTATACAAGTGTTGCAGGGCCAGGGCCGCCCGGGGGGGGGGGCAAGTGGGGCAATTTTCCGCAGGGGCCCCCACCAATATGTCGGAGGCTGCCCCCGCCTCCGTCTTCCCCCGGTGTCTCAGCGTGTCGCGTCCGGGAGCGGCCCTGGCACACTGCAGCGCGGTGGCTCCAACGCTGTCCGGGGCCGCTCCTGGTCGCAGCACGCTGAGGCTCCAGGAGAGGGGGTAAGCGCCATGGTAAGGGGCGGGGCACCCCCCGACCCCATCCTAACCATCACCATCACCCAGCAACAGCCCATTATGTAATTGCAAATGTATACATACCATTAAAGCATTTAATGTTTTTAAATAATGTATTTAGTGTATTTTCAAATTATTACAAATTAATTTTTGAATGTAGTTCACTGGTTATTTTTTACATTTCCAAATACATGTTACTATAGTATTTCAACTTTTTTTTATGGAAGGGGCCCCCAAAATTGCTTTGCTTTGTAATAATTTGAAAATACACTAAATACATTATTTAAAAACATTAAATGGTTTAATGGTATGTATACCAGCTGCTTAGCTGCAGCGCGCCAGGGCCGTTCCTGGACACGGCGCACTGAGACGCTGGGGGATGGGGGAAGACGGATGCAGGGGGAGCCACTCTGGTCTCACCTTGGGCTCAGGGGCATGCTCCATACCCACAAACCCTACCTCCCCTTTCACGGATTCACACACAAAAAAGTGAAACAGCATGCCTCAATCATGCAATAGATCAATTTGGCACATTAGCCAGGAGGAAGCAGACCGTGAGTGTTTTCCACCACAAACCCCATCCCTCCCGTTTTGCAACCATCCCCCAGAGGAAGCAGACCGTGAGTCTTTTCCACCACAAACCCCATCCCTCCCGTTTTGCAACCATCCCCCCAGAGGAAGCAGACCGTGAGTGTTTTCCACCACAAACCCCATT